AGAGCACGAGAATCAGAACCTAGATATGGAAACTCCCAGAAAACGTCCTCGTCTAGAGAATGCTGGAGATCCTCTGGCAACGTTCCCCGAAGGAGTGGATATTTCGGCGTCAAGGAAGGTGTTAGATCCAAAGGAATCGAGAAGAGAAAGAGAAAGCACTGACTCATCAAGCATGCTTTTCAGAAGGGGTCAGTTGACGGAGTTTATAGGAAGCTGGAGATTGGCCGGAACGCCAAAGCGCATTCTGAAAGTAATTTCATCCGGGTTCGTAACTCAACCACCTTCAATCGAGTTTACCAGGGACCTGTTAGGGCGCTTTTTGTTTCCAGGCTTAACATGTAGAAATTGAGACAATGCTTCGTCAAGGGGTGTTAGAAGTTTCAAATTTCCGGTCAGGTTTTCTGTCTCCAATGTTTGCGGTCAGGAAAAGCAATGGAGAAGCAAGGCCCATTTTCAATTTAAAAAAGCTCAACCAGCATCTTCGATCAAAAAAATTCCGCTTATTAAACTACCTGAAGATACCAACCTTTTTTCAACCCAGCAATTACATGGTGAAATTTGATCTGTCCCAAGTGAAAATATCACGTTCCGGTGAAAGAATCTCACCGCAGAATCCTTTCTTTGACAACCAGCAAATCTTGCAATGGACGTATTTTCCTTTCGGTCTGGCCAGCGCCTCGCTAGCATTTTCACGCCTGTTAGGGCCGCCATGTTTAAACTGTGATTGGTTGATTTTTCGAAACTTGTTTTAAGGTCTTTAAAAGAACGGCACATCAGAATTGGCTCAAATTTGGCATAAACATTATTTGATCGATTATCTACAATTCCTTATTTTGGTTTTTCGATATTCAGCCTTTTTTTTTAAATTCAAAAATCATGTTCGCAACCACCAAAACAATTAAATGTGTTGGTGGTTGCATATTTGCATGTTTATCAAGCTTGGATCCGCTAAAAGCATATTTTATTGATAACCACGAAAAACTAAAAAAAGCTAATTGTAGAGATTGCAGATAATTTATCAAATAATGTATATGCCAAAGGATTTTGGAAATTATTGCGGATCTTTTAAGATGACCTTAAAACGAATTTTGAAGGTGAAAACAGTTCAAGCAATTTCATGTAGATGGCGCCACGGCAAAAAAGCTACATTGGGAGCATCATAATTGTATATTTGTCTTTCTCTGTCACTAAGTGTGCCACCGAAAAACAGATTTTGTTTTGGACAAATAATAAAATATTGACCCCTATGTGTAGAGTGACACAGTCGTCATTTTCAAAAACTAAATTTAGCCATGGCAGCCATTAACGCGGCCTTGAACTAGCTTGCAATTCCGCTGAGAGATATGAGTATCAGAGTCGTCGTTTAGTTAGACGACTTCCTGTTGGCACACCAAGCTTTTGCTACTCTAGAATCGCACGCGAAAAGGGCGGTCCTTTTTCTACAAAACCTAGGCTGGGTCGTAAATCACAAAAAATCAATGCTAACTCCCTGCAGAAATTGCGAATTTTTACGGTTAATGTGGGACACACGTCAAGATTCAGTATCCTTGCCAAATCGCAAGAGACTTGCTTTGAAAAGGGATCTTCTGAAGTTGCAGAAATCCTGCCATTGGACGTAGAGCTTGGCTAAATGGATACTGGGACAATTAAACTTTGAAGCATTCGCAAGTCCGCTGGGGCGTCTTTACTCAGGGAATATGCAAAGGGCTTGCCAGCGACTCACAGACTGTAAACCACGCAAGACTGTTGTGATGTTATCTCAATTCATCGTCTTTTAGAGGTCGGATCTAAAGAACCGGACCATTGCACTTCCTCTTCGAATTCGAAACCGTCACCTACAGGAAACTCAGTCGGCAAGCCTCTCCTCCAAAATCAAAAGATAACTTTGGAGGCATGGAAGGTGGGCCGTGCTTACTCAAAACTGGAGGCAGAAAGATGGATCTCTGGATGAAGGGGCCTGGAGGAAATTCACCCTGAAAACCTAGACTGCTTATATGATGCGCGAAAAAAAAAAAAAAAATCCCCGACTCCGAGAGAACCAAATGTTAGTGTTGTCGCTTTATATTTTTCTCACCTATTTAGGGAAAAGAGGCTCGCTCAAGCAACCATTAAGGTGCACAAATCAGTCATAACCTGTTTTGCTGATACTCTAGGAGAGAATGCATTGGCCTCCAACTCCCTAGTAAGGCACATGCTTAAAGATTTTTATCTTTTTCCCCTACGTCAAGAAGAAATACTATTTAGGATGTGATTATGGTAATCTCTTGGATTAAGGAGGAAGAAATTCATGGATCCAGCTTATTCCAGGTTTCCAGAAGGCTGGCTTTAATTTTGCTTTTGGCGTGCGGGCGCTGGATTCACGACTCAACGCTCTTAAGAATTGATGGGAAAAAATCTGACGCTAGCCCAGGATTTTGTATGTTTCTGGCCTATCTAAAACAGATAGTTAGTTCTTCCCGTCGTCAATCTGGTTGGAAACTCCTATAACACAAGAATGTATCTTTGGATACAGTTGATTGGACTAACAAACTGCTGGCGTCGGAAAGCTCAGGCTAATCTGGGAAGCCTTTTTATCACCTCTCGAGGCAAAGTGGGCCCAGCTTCCAAGGCAATTTTGGCAGAATGAGTTCGATCGGCGTTAAAAGCAGCTCGAATAATTTTTTTTCTCCAGGTAGCATAAGGTCCGCAGTAGTATCAGCTAGAGATGGGAGAATAAGGGCCATCAAAGAGTCTGATTTGGTTAGTGACAACTCCTTCATTCCGGTATGAAAGACTGTGTTTTTATTTTAAGCTTCTAAACCTACTTTTACTCTGAGTTAGAGGTCCAAAGTATTAGTTTCTTTTCTTGTTCCTGTAGGTCTGTAACTATATTTTTAGAGTTCCTTATACTTTTGTTTGTTGCTTACGATGCAATAAAGCATTTTTCTTTCTCATACTTGCATATTGTTTGATTGATACTCATATAATCACAGTACGCTATCACAAATACTAGAACTATATTATCGTCAGAACACTTCTCACAAGAACAAGCCGACGGCACAGAACCTAAAATATAAAGGTTTTTTCCCCCGAAGGATAAAAAACGAGTATTTTGGGTCTTGCCTAGGCTTGACCCCATGAAGTGCTTGACGTCCTTGACGACTTAATATGCAAGAGGTACTGCCAACTGATGATATAGGCTGACGCTCACTGGAGCGCAGCGCACGGAAGCGCGGCGTAGAGGACTTTTTATAATACATTACATTGTTTTAAATGGGAGTATGCCGATCGGTGCGCTTCCGACAAGTGAGCGTACTCTCATTTAAAACAATGTATTATAAAAAGTCCTCTACGCCGCGCTTCCGTACGCTGCGCTCCAGTGAGCGTCAGCCTTAAGCTGCTGCGGCCTGCCGCGCATCGCCCGCGCGAACGACCTGGATGGCATCAGGTGGGGAGGAGCGGCGTTGCCAGGCCGCACTCGCGAAAATTGCGAAGGATAATCTCACAAGATTCAAGCCTAGGCAAGACCCAAAATACTCTTTTTTCACTCTTCGGGGAAAAGACGTTTATATTCTTGAGAGAGACAGCGTTAAAAAAAAAACGCAAATGCTTATTCTGAAAAAATACAAAAAAAAGCATGAGTCAATTTGTTTCAATTTTGATGCTAATGTTTTCTATTAATTATTATCTATAACTTTATTCATGTTATGTTTCTATAAATACCATAGTCTATCTATGATAGAAAAAGAATGAAATAATAACAATTAATCGTTAAGCATTGCTGAAGAAACTGAGCTTCACATTTTCATACTGCATTTCTTCACTGAATGAAATCGCCTCCCTACACAAGGGAGGGATTATTTTTTGCATTTATCGGCCACAGAGCTGTCGGCTCTGCACAAAAAAAGAACTAAGACGTTATAACCCGTATCGATCGCCGCCATGCAAATCGTTTTTTACATCATCAGGAGTGTTTACGAAATCGATCCTCTTGAGGGATCCGCCTTACCTTTTAACCACCCTTCAGTTTTATTTTGCACCATTCTCATTTTTCCTTTAGAGTCATTTATAGAGGTAGGAAAACTGAGAAAAGAACTTGTTTCCAACATTTTTTATCTTTATAGAAAATAATACCCTTGGGAAAAAAGTGTAGGTGAAAATTTTCCTACTTTACCGCATTTTTTGATTGCTAAAAAGACCACATAGATAATATTCTTTGTATTACTGGTGGAGTATAATTAGATTTTTATTTTGTTTAACACACGTAGGTACACTTTGTGTATATATGTAGTTAGATTTTTATTTGAAAAATACATCAATAATTATAGGTACATACTTACATACATAGATAATAGTATATTACCTATATAATAAGTGTGGTAACTATGTTATCACCGCACGCGAGAGAAATTTGCATACCGAGCCGGTAAGGCGAGGTTTGCAATCTCTAAGGACGATAATAACCTTATTACCTACCATACGTACAGTATTTTATCTATAATCGTGCGGTATACAAAATATCGGAAAGAAGTTTAAAAAATTATAGAAAATTAAATTTCGTTGTCACCTTTGACAGTGGGCAAGTAGAACTTAGGTGAAAGGTAGGTAATTGAAGGCAGGTAGAGCGTGCGGTAATAGAGCTACCGCACGCTATTATAGCACGCCGGGTGGTAATATGATACGTACCGCACGCAAAATCGTGTAATATACCCCAGTTACCGCAGGCTTGTAGATAAAAAAAAATTAGAGGTACAGGTTTGAGAATGCGGGTGTGAAGTAAATCATTAAATATAACTTCTTATCAAAGTAAAATTTTTTAAAACTATATTTACCAATCCTAACTCTCCTCCAACTTATTTGAAGCGCTTCCTAATTCGGCTGGGCCTTTTACCAAAATATTCTCAAAAAGCATCAAAAAGTGCGCTCATCTTAATTTACCGTGAAATTTTTGGGAGCTTGAGCGGGATTTCTCCTTAGTTTCAAAGCCCATCATGACTGCACTTCCCATTCAACCTAGTTACCTTAACATACTGTTTGCTGGCTTTGGATACTTTCCAAATAAGCTTAGCTGCCTTTGTATTTGTCCCTGGAAATTATGTCATGCCATCAACTGATCTTTTCTGAGAATCTCCCCCTAGATTTGAAGTGTCTTCATCCAGATGAATATTTGACATAATTCTGGTTTGTTTCCTTATATTCATATGTATGTTATCATCCTATGGCGTCTTTAAAACTCTGTCAAAACCAAACCTCTGACTTTGTAATCTCCTACTGCTTGTATTAACCGAACAATGTGGCAAAGGACTTCCAGTGTGGTTTCTCCAAATAGGGCCGTGTTGTAATTTCGTTCAGTGGATGTTTTCTTCTCCTTCGAGCCTACAGTCATCTACACCTGGAAGTAAGTTTCTTCCAAATTCCTACAAGCATTTTAATCTTTTAAAATTTGGATACAATTCCCTCCTGCGATATTTTGTACGTCATCGCATCTGCAGTTGTGTCTTCGCTTCGCTAAATCTTCCTCAGACGCCAAACCAAAACAATTTGTGTTCATCCGCATATCAATTGAGCCACAACCTTCAGCACATCACCCAAGTCCTCTCGTGGATTAATTAAGCATCAGAACTAGATTTAAACGAAGTTTCATCCCAACGTTTGGAAACGCATCATCAATTTTTTTTTCTTTTAGCAGCCGGTACATTTGAAGTTCTTTGCTTATATTTGATAAGCCCGATAAGGCGATTTCCTCTTTGATTTCAAAAATTCAAATTGTAGATACTAGTTCGACTCCTAGGTTCTCATTTATATCATTGTTATAAGTTATAAATTCTAACAAGTTTTAGTAAGTGTGCTTCACATTTTTGAATCTCGAAATTTTAAATGTGCTGTTTTTTTGTGGGGGGCCCGGGCAGCTGCCCAGCCTGCCCCCCCTTAAATCCAGCCCTGCCTCGAAGTGATTCCAAGCATGGCCTCTCCATTGTGCTCAAATTATTGGTTGATTTTCGAGTAATCGACATTCGGCACACGGGCAGTGTGAATAAAAACCAGTTCTACTTTTAGTATTAAGTGATAGCTTTAGCTTTCACTAAGTAGATTTAGCTTTTGCTAAAAGCATTTGCTGGAATTGAAGTGAATAACCTTTTCCTTTTACTCATTAGCAAAAGCTAGATATTTGAAGCGTTTACTGAAAATAGTTGTATTCCTTTCACACCTAGGATGAGCTCCCGACCAGCTCAGGGACGTTACGCGCTTAGTCCTTTCGAAAAGTGTTTGTTGCACCTGAGTGCTGAAGCCCGACTCAAACCATTTAAATGCATGAAAGCCAGCGCATCTGTTCCTTTCAAATCCTTTCAAACACCAGAGCGAGTAGCTCTAGTGTTTCAAGCTCTTGAAAGGAATACAACTAATACGGAGATTTCGTGAAGTATCTACAGCATTCTCAAAAAGTGTGTTTACGAGTTTTTATACTGATAACGCCGATATTTATTTTTTTGTAAACCGGAATGGTATGATCGGCGGCGTGGAAGCATTGGAAGAAGTCAGAAACAATTTAAACAAATAGCTGTATCGAACGCCAGCGCTTCAAGATGAATAGTGATTCAGACAATTCCATAAGTGAGAAGGAGGTTCCTGAAAAATCTTCAGCCAACCTCAAATTGACAGAAATTTTGGAAAAGTATCACATAATATTCAAGAAATCCCAAGTTCCTAAAATAAAAGAAAAAAAAAAGAAGCATACAAAGAAATTTATCAAAAAATATATTGTACAAATTGTTAAAAATATAAGTGAACAACAGCTGAAAAGAAAAATTCAAAATATGAAAACAGAGGTAAAGAAAAAGACCGACATAAGTGCAACTGGAAATAAAAATATTATTTTGAACTTGTGGGAGAGGCAACTGTTGACGTTGGTGGAAGGAAAAGAAAAACCCAGTTTTTCAAAAGATACCAGGTACCAAAATAAAGTAGGATACGAATAAATGATATAGCATAGCAGCAGGTATTTAGTAGAAAAAGTTACACAATAGTATATTAAGCAACAAGTTTAGTAAAGTGAGGTTTTACCAATTGAGTGTGGCCAGTTTTGTGTACGAGGGAGTGCTCTAAGGCCTCACGAGATTGGTAAAACCCCTTGCAAATGCGTTGCTTATACTATTTTATCGCGTTTTGTCTTCAAATGGTTAAGAACATAGAATGTTAAGAAATGTTCTTATTTTTGACAAGACAACATAATTTTTGAAATCATAACAGACCTGTGCCTGGTGGCCCATGCCTGGCTAGTTTTTCTTTTCGGTAACTTAGAAACCGTTAACAATTATTTTAACAAAAAAATCAAAAAGAATTATCGGAATCGCGTCCACTGAAATCTGAGTGAAATGAATCCGAAGATTCTGGAAGCAGGAGCTGATGCCTGACAAAATCAAAATCAAAGTATGAGAAAGTATATGACCAATTCCGTCAATAGAAATTAATGAATAACGTGGAAGAAGTGCCGAATGAGGACCTTATGTTGGCTTTTTTCTATGAAAAGGTAAATCAATTAAATATCACTGTTTCAAATCCTGTGTACATAAGAAATTTGAAATACAAATTTAATTTTCGTGACATTGACAAGGTTTAAGGTTCTTCTACACGACACTTTAAAGAATGTTCGGTTTTTATTGTTTCAGGCGGGGCTGTCCTGGATCAACATTCCAATTCGTCTATCCAGCAAACGCAAAAAATGGAAGTTAACTCAGGATCCATTCATTTCTCAAATGTTAACAATTGTATTATCAATATTTAATAACCAGAAATAAAAATACTTTTTCCTGCTGCAGTTTCGCGCACTGTGAATTAGGCTTAACAAATGAAAATTGATATACAAAATGGATGCTATCAATGACGTTGCTATGTAGTAAAGTGTTGTTATCGAGGTAAAGGGGCACTTTACCACTCAATTTTGAATGCAGTTATGTATCACATTACTGTCAAAAATACGATAAAAAAAATTAATTGCTGAATCTGTAAAAAAATAGTTATTTATTATACAAGACGGTAAAAAGATGCTTTACCTGTGAGTGGAAAATGTTGATTCACGAGCGACGAAGGAGCGAGTGGATTAATTCCACGAACAGAGGTAAAGCTTTTTTACCATCGTGTGTAATATTCTATTTTATTCTTGAGCAACTTTTTATTTATCACAATAGGGAACAATCATATTTTTCAAAGTATTTTCTTTCTTATTGCTTATGTTTTCAAATATAAAATTTATATGTTTTTTTTTTTTGTTTTATGTCCTCATTGAAATAAAAAAATTATTTTGAATTTCAAATTATTTTCGTTGGCGCGAAAACGATTAGCTTCAAGATGGTGGCATTTGTGACGTCAACTGTCTGTAAACACAACGTTAAGGTCTGTTCTCACAAGTGCCTTTGACACTTTGCAAACTGTCGGAAAGAATCGCTTGGCTTGAACCTTCGACTGCATTGAAACTTGAAAGCGATTATTTATGCAGTATTTCCATATTTAGTGCCATATTGTGACATTTTGTGTTTCAAATAGTTCATTATGGTTGATACAGGATTTACAAAAGCTCAGTCTGACAATCTTCCCTCTATAGACCCGTTTATGGTGGTTTAATATCAGTCGTGGCGTGTCGTGAGCTGATCTAGGACCAATCGTTCCACGATTCAAGAGTGAACCACGAAAGTGTGGACCGTGGATTTACGATCAGTGTAAACTACCCTTAACCTTAAATTACGAACAGTTGACGTCACTGGAAGCGGCCATGTTAAACGTAACTTTTCCGCGCGAAACTTTTCAATTTAAAACTAATAATTGCCCTATGACTATAATATCAATAAATTTAATACAAAACCTCTCATATATTCAATATTTTACACAAAAATGTGCATCATAAAACAAAATAAGCCATATTTATTTCTTATGAGAATTCCCTATTACTAAAATCATAAACTAGAATGTGCTAAAATTTTACATAGATTATGACAAGTTGACAAAGTACCTAACAAACTGACACATTTCTGGTGTTGTCAATCATGCAACATAACAGATTTCTGTCAAAAATACTATAATTATTATAAAAGATTTGAACAAGTGGGTAAAATTGACGTAAGAGTGGGTAAAATTGACAAATGAGTGGGTAAAATTGACAAATGAGTGGGTAAAAATTGTTCGATTTCACTACTTCAAATAAAGTGTTACTTTAACAACGAGTTTTGAGTCGATTAAATGATAGTTTACCGTTCACGATAGAATAAAAAATATAAATTAGTCTGGCTGCTGTTTTATTAGAAACAATTTTTTTTTCAGGAGCAATGTCGATAGGATGTGTAATTGAACAACCTCAGCCATCAACGTCCAAAAGTGATGTACCTATTCCCTCACGTTCGGCCTCTACCAGTCAAGTGTACGGCTACCAAAAAAAAAAAAAATTAAGGAAACCGAAGAAACCTTGAATTTATCAAATTCAGAGCTCCAACGACTGGTATTGTTGGAAAAGCTGATGGAACTAATAAGACTCCAAAAAGAAAGGGAACAATGGGGTAGTATACTATGTATAAAAATCAGTAAAAAAACTGGTGATGGTATAGTGGGATACTGAATTATTTTCCAGCAGAGTGTCTATAGAATTAGTCAGAGAAAAACAAACTGTAATTTGAATTAGGCGCCACAGCGGCGACCAATAGTATTCAAATCGCTGACCATCTGGCAACGCTGATTAAAATGATAGCTAACTTTAACAGTGCAACGACGTGTGGTGTCGTGTGAATCGTGGGACATGTGACATCGTCACAGTAACTTGTTTACGTTGTTTGATGTAGTGAATTTGACGTTTCGTTCTTGACGGTCAATGTCAGTGCAAATTGTGCGTTCTTAAAACCGTGACGTGTTGCCATATTGGAAAAACTAACTGCGTCACGAACTTCTATTTTCACGTAGGGGCCGGGCTATACAGACTGTGGTATTCTTCGGCACGACTTTCTTTTCTTCCGGGATAAAATTTCGCAGACCTCATATTCATAAACGCGGCCATTTCTGCCAAACTTTTAAACACCCTTAAAATGTTTAAGCCAAGATTTACCAGGCTAGCAAAAATAAGGGCTTTTCCTTCATATAATCATGAATTGTTTACTTTTATTCACACCATTTAAAGACAATACTAAAAACTTTAGCTTTTACTAATTGAATTTTTAGTTAAAGCTAATACTCATTCTTATCCACTGCAAAGTGAGTATTTGCTTAGGAAATGCAAGATAAACCTTTCACTACATTTCTATTCACACTACCCATCTCGCCACTACGTGAGCACCGGCCGGCAGCACACAGTATACACAGTCTAACTTTTTGAAAATGTCGTCCAGAACCTTGTCTCACATTTTCTTATTCTTTACTGATTAAAATCTCTCCAGTTTTTGGATGCTCTCGACTAGGCTGGATTAATTATCAAAAACTTATTTAATAAGGCTTGCATATCTGGAGTCTAATTGTGTATTATACTCCGTATTTTTTCAGATAGTACGAATCATCTACAAGTAGTAGGTAAAAATTTTAATCATTTCACTACCAATTTGATCATCACCTGTGCTCTTCCTAGCTGTTAATTCGATATATTATACAGGGTGGCCCATTTAAATTGAAATAGTCTAATATCTCTAAAACGGCGCGTTTTTGAAAAAAAAAGTTCAAATAAAAGTTGATAGACTCAGAAATCATTGCTATCATTTTCTTTCACCCGTGACACTTTCAGTTCTCTTGTATTTAGGTACAAGAGTTATCCAACGAAAGTGCTTTCTTCCTTATATACCTGTTAATTGAAGGGGTAAAAAAAAAAGGTTTAATACAAAAGTTGTTGGGATTTTTATGAGGAATTAGGAGCATTTATTTAAAAAAAAATGGAAAGGCGGGTTTAGAAAATATAGCAAGAAATTTAACATTTCTTGCTTAATTTGAATGGAAAACCAAAATTTCCACTCAATGTTAACCTTTAACCTAATATTGAACAATATGAATATCCAAAGTAATAAAATAAGGAATCTAATTGATCATGTGCAATTAGCAATAAATTTTGCACAATTGGGAATAATGCATTATACTATTCTACACCATAATGAATTAAATCAAATATTAACAAATATACCCAAAAGTCAGCAAATACCTTTTGATAATAAAATCAAGTATTACGAGACAATCAAAATTCGAGTAAAAATCCAAAATGAGTTAATTATATTTGTTATACACTAGTGGTGCCGCGAGACGAGACTAGACGAGACTTAAGGTTGGGTTAGTGACTCAGCCTCGGTCTCTAGTACCAAAGTCTCGTCTCGAGTGGTCTCGTCTGGTCTCAAGTTATACAGGGTGTCCGAAAAATAGCGTAAAAACTCTCCACTCCGTGGTGGAGGAACCTTCAAGTGACTCCAGAAAAATAATTTAAAAAATCTAGTGGCATTCTTAAGAAAGTTATTTGCATTTTAAAATTTATTCAAATTTGCAACACTGAAAATATCCAATTGGCAATATGTCAGAGAATCAAATTAAATACTTAATGTAATTACCTGTAGAATTCGAAGGTGAATTTTCACATTTCACATCACATTCTTCGTATTACCAAGAATATTGCTGGAGAAGGATTTTTTCAATTATTTTTGTAGGGTTTCTCAAAGAGTCCCCTACTACGTGAAGAGCTTTCCGCTATTTTTCGGACACCCTGTATTTATGATTTTTATTTTTATATTATATCGGAAGTTCAAACTGCCACACTGAAGCAGTTATTTAAAGAGTGAAAAATCACAGTGGAGAGTATCCGTGATGTTTTAAAATATATGAACGTCAAATTAAAAAAAAAGTCGGACAAAACAGTTTTTGAAAAAAAAAAATCACCCTGTATTTTTTTTGTGAATTAATGTGATGCTTTCTACATACTTTATCTTCAGATCTAACTTCCAGTTT